GCAGGACTGCTACTGCCGAGTTACTCACGCACCCGACTCACATTTACCGACAATTCGACCGGGACGCCGCCTTTCCCGTGGGGTACCAACTAACATTTTTGGAGTCAGTCAAACCCCCCGATCCGGGTCTCTACTCAGGTCTATCCTCTTTGCTCTGATCGAACAGTTCCAATAAGCCTGAGCAATCTTCCCTATTATCTCTGATCGAACAGTTCCCATAAGCCTGAGCAAACTCCCCTATTATCTCTGTTAATTATCTCCCACCCCCCTGCAAACGGCTCCGAACTTCTTTTATGGGCGTCAGTATTCTTTGTTCCAATTCCATTTAGCTTATTCCTTGTTGCTAATATCTGTTGGTTATCGCTTTGTTTTTTGATTGTGCGTCGGCCTCAATTGCGGTTGGTGAAATAAAAATGTTTTGTAAATAAAAGTATACCGAAAAAAAAAAAATTAACATTTCCTCACATGGCCCACTCGATAGAATAATAGAGAGAAAGAAACGAGAAAATGACAATTGCAGTTATAATTCAACGTCATCGAAGTCATCTAGTGCATCAGTTTTACTGATTGAATTAATGAAAAAATGATAATAAATCATCAGTATCGTCATAAACGTCTAGCGGCCGTCAATTTCAGGAAGCTCCATGTGCAGCAGTTATAATAGCAATGGACTTGTGACAGTGGCGTGAAAATGGCGACTTGGTAGAGAATGGCAGGACGACGATCAGGCTTGGTGAATGCCGATTCCCTCGTTGGCTCTATTGGAGAAGATCCATTGAGGGAATTATTTGAGGCATGTAAAAATGGTGATTTAATGAAAGTTAAGAAATTAGTTAATCCGAAGACTGTTAATGCGAGGGATACGGCTGGACGCAAGTCAACTCCTCTTCACTTCGCAGCTGGTGAGCAGGGAAAGCGTTCCTTTTTTTTGTATTTATTTTTTACAGAGAAATGTGTGTCTCAGTTCCAAAGAGTGGATTATTGTTAAACGAAACTTGATAAAAATTATAGAAGTGAAAAAGCTTGCTCAATTACAGGGTATGGAAGGAGGGAGTTGGTGGAGTTTCTACTGTCAGCAGGTGCCTCGATTCAAGCTAGAGATGATGGAGGTCTTCATCCTCTTCATAATGCTTGTTCTTTTGGGCATTCCGATGTTGTTAGATTACTCTTAGAAGCTGGAGCTAATCCTAATACTAGGGATAATTGGAATTATACTCCACTGCACGAAGCAGCTATCAAGGTAATTAAAAAATAATAAAATAATAAAAATGGATTGTTTGATACTACAATGAATTTTTTATTCATAGTTTATATGGAATTTGAAGTGAAGAGCTGCACATAGTGAAAAAATTATTTCTGGCAAAATAATATTTGGCTGTTTGGGTAGTAGTAAATCATTTTTGAAAGATGCAGTTCTGCAGATTATCTATTTCCAGGTGTAAAATTAGGTTCAATGTCTCACAATTATGATGTTTGTCTATTATAGAATGATTATGTTGTGTCTGACGTAACATAAACCCTTGGATAATTATTAAAATCACAAATTTCTTCACTCAGACTTTTTCGGTCTGAAGAGTTGCAACTTTTCTTTATTTCTTCCGAATAAATATTATTTTTATAGAAATAATTTTTTCTCTTAATCTAGGATGTTTAAAACGGCCTTTATTCGAATTGCTATATTTTCAGTTTTTTTCTTGAATTTCGCTGAAGTACATCGCAATGTTTGTTCATGGAAGAATTCGGATTTCATATGTGGACATCCGGATAAAAAGGGACCACTTTGTCGATTTTAGGTTCAGAAATAATGGCAGTTTCCTAATTACAGTTCAGATTTGTTTTTTTTTTCATTGTTTAAAAATGTTCATTACAAGTACGTCTTTTCATTTTTTGAAAAAAAGAGACCTCTGTCATATTCTGAGAAGACCCGGGAATTTTTTAATTTTTCAACGATTTACCTCATTCTATGGTACATGGGTGGAAGGGAATTAACCTTCCTTTTCCTTTATAAAAAAAGACTCGGATTATAAGGCGCGCTACGCGCACTCAGCACAGAGTTTCTGCATCTCCATAATTTTGCCTTTAATTAGCCCTAGTCTTATAATTTTTACGGAAATGTCTCGATTTCCATTTTCTATTCACAAGATACTACTCGCCGCATTGTCCATGAATCATATGTTTTTACAACTTTAAGTGAACGTGGATACTTGGTAGGATCAGAAATTTTCAGCGGAAATGATGGAATTAACCTTTTTTGGTAGTGTTAATTCATCTTGCAGAGTCTCAATGAGGTGTATGTGCAATAGATCACGCTTTTCCTATTAATTTTTTGACTGCCAATTGAATCAATTTTTGGCTTTTTGTTTTTCATTTCAAAATCGCGAGCAGTGATATGTACACTGTCTGGAACAATTTGATCTTCTGTTATACTTTCATCGATTTTTTAATTTCCCGACCCGAAGGGAGTTATTGTAATGATCCCGAAAAACGAATGTGGAAATTTCATGATTTCTCCACGTTTCATGACCCTTTATAAACTCTCCCGACCCTTTTTGGAGACCGGTCTGTATGTGCGGATGTGTGTGTGTGTGTGTGTGTGTATGTATGTACGTAAACAAAATTTTGCCCAACGATCTCTCTCGAACAAACGATGCGATTCAATTTTTTTTGTAATCAATGCATCTTCATGGAACTTAGAACTGATTAGATTCTGAAGAACATCGTCTTAGCGGTTCTTTAGATATTGCAGTAAAACTAGTAAATCAACGTCGAAAAATCACATTTTTTTACAATTTTGACTTTCTCTCAAAGTAATGATGGGATCGATTTCTCTCCATCATAATCGATGGAGCTTTGTGTACCTAAGACTGGAGTGAAATTCCTGCAAAATTGTCTCAGCGGTTCTGGAGTTATTCAAACATGAATTTTTAACTTCCCGACCCGCGGGGAGGAAGTTATTGCAATGACCCCGAAAATCGAATGTGGAATTTTGATGATTTCCCCAAATTTCTCGACCTCCAGAATCATCCTGATACATTTTTGAAGACATGTGTGTGTGTGTGTACGTATGCGACCAAAATTTTGTCCGACGATATCTCCTGAACGAATGAAGCGATTGATTTTTTTCTTCCTTCAAACGATGCGTGTTCATGTAACTTAGAACTGTTTAGTTTATGAAAAATTTGACTCGACGGTTTTTTATTTATCCGCATAAAACTTGTAAAAAAATGCCAAAAAGCGTTCATTTCACAGAAATTCGACCATTTTACCTAAGGCAACGATGGGATTTGAATTAATTTTGTGTAATCGATGCGTCTCCACATAACTTGATTCTCATTTGATTTTGAGCAAAATCGTCTCAGTGGTTGTTGAGTTTTTTAAATAAAACTTTCGAATTTTGCAATTAAAAAAAAGGGAAAGTTGGAAAATTTTAGTGCGTTAACTTTGAAGTTGCAAATTTTTAAGTGGATCAACTTCGGAGTTGAGAGAATTTTGAAGTGGGTCAAGTAAAAAGTGGGTTCAAATCAAACTTGATTGAAGTGTGAGTTAACTTAAATTGCAAATGCGTTCTTTGCGAAATCACCCTAAGGGTAATGCCACAATGGATGCAACGCTAAACGCATGCAACGCATGAAATAATTATCCAACTGTTTTGCGAGTATTTCTGACAATGACTAGCGTTGCGTATAGCGTGCGCCGCATTCACTGCGGCATGACCCCAGCGTCAACAAAAACAAATAGTCGGGAAGTTATTGGTTAGACTTGTAATGGGTCACACCCAATTCCACCAACCCCTACCGATCACACCCCAAAAAGGGAGCGCGCGAATCGCGCGACCGGGCCTTATTTTCTTGAATTGTCCTCATCATCATTTCTAATAGTCAGTTATTACTCGGACTTGGTAATGTTTAATAGTCAAATTATATTCCATGAGTCCTGCTATCGACTGACAACAATGGTCGCCTTACAAAATCGGTATTTATTTTTAGGCCCCTTTGAACTTGTCCGAATTGAACCGTCGAATTAGCTCAGGAAGTCTGAGGAAATTTGTTAGCAATCATTGCCTGCATTGGTGGAATTTTACCTGCAATTTATTGGCGAAACACTATTGAGGTGATGCGACAATTAATTGTTATGCGTGATTCGAGCTTCCCCGAACATATTTTTCGTATATTTATAACTGGATCACATATTTCGGCGGCTCCATAACACTTAATCGACAATGAATTTTTTACTTTGGGTTATTTCTATAATCGGGTTTTTTTTAAAATAATGAAGCAGATCAGTGTGAGTATCAGTAGTTGACTTGAATTGAAATATTTGAATATATCTATATTCTTCAACTTTGACTTATTGATCAACAACTCATTGTGGAAATAACGGCGGACCTTGAACAATAATATAACTATCATTGCCTTAAACAGCTATGTGAAATTTTGTATAAGCAGCTCGAATTATTTTCGACTCAGTCTCAATACAAGTTATCTGTATACCATCTTCCTGTATCAAAAGAATAAAACAATGGATTAATCCATAGTTTCACTATCTTCCACAACTCACAGTTTTCAACCTTTCATGATCTTTGACATACGTTTCTGGTATTTATCCATCCCCTGTAGTTGAAAAACAACTACCACTTCATGAGACTGTGTGAATTATAAGGGTTATAAAACAAGTCACATCTTGCTGAGAATGTTGACCTTTACACCGAACTTCCAGTCTGTGGGACTGCTTTAAAAACTTTCAGTGTATAACTATTGATAAATGTAAGAAAAAAATGTCAAACTTCCAGTAGCTTCTTATTTCATCGGTTACAATTGATACAAACGTTTTTCATTTTTTTTTCATCTCAATAAATTCATGAAATCACCAATCTTTCTTCGAATTTATTCCCTGAGGGAATTGATCACAAATAATAATTATCACCAATTGTTCATAATGAATGTCACGTCTTTGTTAGTTCAATAATCGAGGGTTAACAGGCGAGATTTATATGAAAAATTGTTCATAACAAACACTTATGTATGAAGAAAAAAAATAAAATTAAATATACTCATACGTTTTGCCTCTTCTGTTCAACTCTTCCCTGTTTAACCTTTCCCTGTTTTAGCCCTCATTTGAACCTTCAGTTACAAAAAGTATCGATTTATTCGCTGAAACAAACGGGAAATGCGATACAGACGGAACAGCGGTCTGACAGAGCCCAGGGTATGCTAAACGTGCGTTTTCGGAGGGGTTCAGTGTAAAGGTTAAGGATAATTCTGATGGGCAGTCACTATTACTCAAATTTGTTATTCATTTTTTGTGCCTGAGTTTCTTCATACATAATATATCATTCACATCGAACAGGTTTTGGTTGCGTATATACTGTTAGCCACGGATGAAAGTTTAGCAGAAAAACCTAGGGAATTTGCTAGACCATTCTACTCGATTTCCATTGAACTTTCTATTAGTTTTTGGTCGATTTGATTGAAATGGTCAATCGAACATATTCTACAGAAAAAGTCAAAAGTATGAAATTTTTTTATACAACTTACTCTATTGACATATTTTCTACAGAATTTCCTCGGTCACATTTTCCAAGTTTGTTCGTTTGATTTTCTTGATGAGAAGAAAAGAAAAACAAGCAGCAAAACGCCGTTAACACCCCAGTCATTCAGGAGGAAATTCAAGCTGCGCTACGGGGTATGAAGAACCATGCTACTCCAGGCCCCGATGGCATCAACGCCTTTTGGTGGAAGAGGTTTACTTCTGTTCATAGCCATCTAGCTCGGATATTCACGTCATTTATCGATGGTAGTGCATTGCGTCCTGAGGGGTTGGTGGTGGGGAGAACTATGCTGCCCCCGAAGAAGGGAGACTTGTCTGATTCGGCAAACTATCGGCGTATCATGTATTTAAATACGCTCTACAAGCTCTTTACTGGGGTTTTAAATGAGCATATTTTGCATGACATACAACCAGTGTGGCAACAGATTTATGAATAGCGTGGAGCAAAGCGGTCGCTGTCAGGTTGCAAGGGGAGTTTGCTAGTCGATCGCTGCGTATGGCGCGATTCGATCCAATATCATCGTAACCTGTCGGTAGTCTGGGTCGACTATCGTAAAGCATTTGATAGCACGAGTCACCATCTCATATTTCTGCTATTGGAGTCTTGCGGTTGAAGATAATGTAGTAAGGTGCCTTAAAGATCTTGCGCCGCTTTGGAGAACGCGCTTCACCATAACATCTGGTGGGGGTGGGCTGACTTCAGGGTTGGTGCAATTCAAGAGAGTTTTTCAAGGTGATACCTTGAGTCCTCTCTTGTTCTGCATCTCGCTGATGCCCCTTTCTGTTGCTTTACGCTGTGTTGGTGAGTACCAAGCCAGGGAGACCTGGCGATAAGAGACATCAGGTTAGCCATATATTTTATATGGATGACCTGATATTATTTGCCTCAAGAGACCGACAGCTCAAGTTCCAGCTTGATGTTGTCGCGGTGTACTCTCGAGCAGTCGGTCTGAGTTTCGGGTTGGACAAGTGCGCAGTTTTCCACATGAAGAGGGGGAAGGTTGGGGATGGGATGAAGGATATTCATCTAGCGGATGGAAGCGTCATCGGACATCTTGGCGCCGAAGAGTCTTATAGATATATTGGCTTCAATCAGCGATCCGTTGTGGATACTGAGGCAGTCAAAGAGACTCTTCGTGAGGAGTATCGTCGGCGGCTTCGGAAAGTTTGGAAGTTCGAACTTTCCAGAAAGAACAAGGTAACCGCGACAAATATGTTCGCTGTG